CGGAATATATATATATATATATATATACATATATATAATACTTAATATCGATAATAGATATATAATGAAAAAATAATTCTTTTTCTAAATCTTAAATCTTAATGCATATTTTTTCGAATATTTACAACAAATAAATATTTACTTAATAAATATCTACTCAATAAAAAAATGATAGTTATATCAAATTATTGGTTTTTGTACCAATTAAATATATGTTCACATTTGATAAATATTTGCTTAGAATTTTTCAAATAAATATTTAAAATTTTTTATTTTTTTCAGGCAATGCTCCGATAATTTATATGTATTAATATTATTGCTACTATTATTGATATAAACAATGCGATATTCTCGTAGTATTCGTGATATATAGAGTGTTCCATTTTATTTTAAACAGTTTTAAACAGTTTTCTTCGAAATTATTAATGATACACAAATATTTCAAAAAGTAATACTTCAAAAGATGATCAAACATAAATGTAAAATACTTCATAAAATATTGATTTTCTGATATCTCTATATAAGGTGCTTTCCAGCAAGAGACACAAATGACACAGTGAATTATTATTTTGTTGTTTGCCATTGCTAAACAACGATGAAATGATCACTGTGTTACACTGTATATCTCTTGCTGGAAAACACCAACACGGTGTATGACTGTGGAAAGCACTCGTAGTTTAGTACTTTTATATATATATGCAGAATAATGAAAAGATATTATGTTATGTGAAAAAAAATATATAATTCCATTTAAAACATGAAGTGACCTTCATATCTTTTGGCCTTCATATCTTTTCTTCATATCTTCCACTTAGAAAAAATATAACGTGACTAAAACATCTCCCCGAAATTGTTCCTCTTTTATCTAAAATATTTTTTTATATCAATAATTTCGAAGAAAGTTGACTATTTAAAATAAAATAAGATACCCTCTATATATTGAAAAAAATTATATAAAAGATATAATAATAATATAATAATATTATTATATATATATAAATTAATGTTTGTAACAACATAATCATAGTTAATCATAATTAAATTTTATCATTCGAGTAAAACACAATTCGTAAGTCGTCATTATATTAAAATCATTTTAAATTAGTTCTAAAATGATTACTAAAATAATTTTCTTTCTAATTAATTACAGTAAAAGAATCATTTCCTAAGTAATTATATTTTATGTCATTTTGACATTATCGTCACTTATTAATGGGCATTAATATGTATATAATTTAATGTAAACAGTAGCAATTGTAATTAAAATTATGATTGTGTTACTATGTATATTAATATTATGTGCATACATTAATGTACACAATCGCATACATTAGTGTGTATCATGAATCATAATTATTGTGTATATTAATTATATTCGTACATGATAATATTTTAAATAATATAGTATTCATGCACTATAATATGTATATGTATATTTTGAGTTCTTTTAATCAACAATAATATTCTTAATTTTTTTTTCTAAATATTTTAAATATTTATCCGAGTTGATTTGTGCAAAGTTCTATTGCGATGCAGAGAATAGTTGTTTTATAAATAAACAAATAATTTTTTTATGTTTTAGAATGTAGCCTAATACAAATACATTTATGATTAATTACGATTACGCTACTGTATGTATTAATTTACATACATTTTTTTTTTGCTTGGATTGCATGTTATTTCTCTCTCTCTCTCTCTCTCTCTCTCTCTCTCTCATTTGTATTTTTGTTTGTTATTTAATCTGTTTTATTAAATCTGTTTGTTATTTTTCTGTTATTATTGTTTAGGATAGTATCAATGTCCAGTCATATTAATCATATACATACTGATTTTTATTTCGATTATTATTATTGATTTTAGAACAAAGACTTGTTAGTTTTGTATATATATATATATATATATTCAGAGAGAGATTTTTTACAGTCTTTAATTTTTGCCTAGATTGAAAACAAGTCTGACTAATAGTATTGTATTTTTACATCAACAGTCGCTTGTTCGTCTCTCCTATCAGAATGATTTATTGTAGGATTTCATCCGCGACGATGAGAAGAAGAGGGAGCGAAAGTGATTAGAGAGAAACACTCGTCCGCATTTCACTGTACTTGTGTTTCCAGAGAAAGTACAATCTTTATTGTCTCTAATTACCGACTTGATGTATTCACCCGTTCGATTTCTTCTACGTACTTATATACTAAATCAAGAATTCGTAGAAGTACTCATGAATTTTTGTTTATTATGATAATTAATTCAATCGCGACTTAGGTTGACTTATACTGATATGCACGAAGTGAGATAAAAAATAAAATCTATGCTACAAAAAGTATTACTAAATCTTAATACATGTTTCTTTGAATAGTACTAAGGGTCTCTTTCACCAGCTTCGATTAACTAATCAATGATTAACTCAATCATTACGATTGCCAACGTGAGAATTAAACACAATTTGTCTCGGAGGACGAAAGGGCAGAAGTTAATTCTGAACTGTTGTTGGCACTTCTACGAGTTAATCGTCGATTAACTTAATCAGAGGTTGGTGAGAGAGGTTCTAAGTCTAAGTAAACATTTACTGAGAGTAAATATATATTTACTAAAATAAATGGTAATTAAATCAAATTAATGGCTTTTGTATCAAATATATATTTACATTTAGTAAATATTTAGAACTATTAGAACTTTTTTAGTAAATATTTACTTAGAACTATTCAAACAAATATTTATCGAAATTTAAAATTTTTTCCTAGGGAGAAATAATTGTCAATAATAAGACTCGACATCAAATTGATACCAAAATTACCGATGTCAATTCGATATCAATTCGGTGAGTCATTTCTGACTAGATTTTTGGATTTATTAGTGGATCGAAAAATTTGTCAAGGAGAGACCATTGCCAAGCCATAAGAGAAAATTTTTTAAAGATTAAATATAAAAAAATAAAATATTAAATTATTATTTAAATTATTATATCAAAAAAGTATTATTTAAATGATAATTTATAATACATGTTTAAAATTATATTAACATAAAAAAAGAATAATATAATAGAATTAATCTATGTTTTTTATATCTAGGAATTTCTTAAATTAAAAAAATATTTTTGGAATAGCAAAATTGCGATTAAGTATTTTTGAATTATTAAAAATATATATAACATTTTGCTATAAATATTTTAAAAAAGAAATCCCTAGAGCGTTTTGAAGTTCCCATAGCTTCCTTCATGAATCCGCCAGTGTTTTGGCATTGTAAACGCGTGTCATTCGTACTCTCGACACCCGCTGGATCAATCGATCATTATATCGAGATGAAAGATCATCACTTGCGACTCCAAATCCCTGACGGCCGCGCAGCTCTGACTCGAAAGCGCCGATCGGCCTAGTTGGTCCGTTGGCAACCTCGAGTAGCTTCATTCATTTAATGATTATTTATGATATATCATGCGAGGGTCATTGCGTAGGTCGTATATTTCAAAATCATTTCGATCGTGAGCGAACAGGTCGAGATCTTTTTAGCTGCATTACGTTGTACTTTCGGCATTTAAAAATTAGAAGGGAAATTGAACTAGCCAATACAAGCACAGATCATTTCAACAACATTGCAGTAATATCGCAAATATTGCAGCAAATTACTTAAAATTGAACGTGACGAATAACCCCGTCTTCCTCTATTTTTTTTAAGAAAAAAGATTTAAACAATAATTTAATTTAACATTATACAGTATTTTTTTTTAATAATAATTTAAACAATAATTGTAATCTATTTTTATACAACACTTTTACAACGTTTTTATAAGTTACTTATTATTTTTTTTAATTAACGTATACTTTTTTTTTGCTTTATTTTAGAAGAATCAATTTTTCAATAGTCACTTTAATTCCTAAATTAATTGAATATAGCCTTATAATAAATTCGACTCATTGTCAATGCATACTAGTGCATAGTCATTGTATATGAATTGACATGTGTTTAATATAAATATAAATTGCAATATATAAATTGAATGCAATAGTTGCATTTAGCAGAAAAAGCTTTCCAATTGTAAAATTCTTAATATAATTAGTCTCATTGTTAGTATGTTAGTTCCTCTAAAAATATGTCAGTAGATCTAAAACTGCATTCCAAAATATCTTTAAACCTATTCAAGATGATTTATGCAAAGTTCTATTGCGACGCAGAGATTAGTTATTTTAGAAATAAACAAATAATTTTTTTATTTTTTAAAATGTGACCTAAATGTACAAATCAATTATTAAATAATTTTACAACAGTTGTAAAGCTGCTTTCTCTAAATGCAGCCATTGACGCGGTGAGACGC